GTTTAGATAAGCCAGGTGCCCTCTCTGAGGGCCTTTACCTGGAATGTTCTTCCCCTAGCTAGCTACTGGCTGGCTCCCCTCACCTCCTAGAGGTATTTGCTTAAATCTCACCTCTTTAAGACTTTCTCTGAAAACTCACCTGAAAATTGCCAACACCCACCCCCCATACCAACCACATCAACTGACATATACTTATTCTTCCCACCACTAAAATGCAACTTCAATGAAAAGGGTCTTTGGTCTCTTATGTAAACTACTATCTCCCCAGCCCTAGAACAGTGCCTGGCATACACAAAGGCTTATCTTCTGAATAAACAAACATCTGCTACTCAAAAACAAGACTGTTTTGCACGGATTCTTGCAGCAGGAAAACAATGAAGGTAAGTTAAGTGAGCCCTGCCCTCAGAAAGCTTACAACACAGAACACAACCTGGAACAAGGAAAAGCATTTTGCTTTGCTGAAAAGTTGTCAGTTTCGCTCAGTTCAAGGTCTTCAACTAAGGTTTTCTGTGCCCATAACTCAAGAGGGTTTCCCTTCTAATTCCCATTTATTAAATGCCTACATAAGGAAAGGGAATCTGGCTGTTCTGATGATCTAGAGATTGAAACCAAGGATCTTTCCTGGTCACCTTGGCATCTTCAAGGGCTGAGCCTCAGCCAGGGCCAACACTGAGAATCCAGAGATTCTACCTCAACAGCCCTAATAAAGACCCATTACTCACGGGGCACAGCACTCCGCCTGTAGGTGTCTCTGTCAGCTTCCCCTCTTGTGAGTCTTGCAGGTCGCTCGCCTTCCAGACCTGTATAAATTAAACCACACTGTGAACCTAGGGCAATGTGGGAACTCTGTTCCCTTAAGGCCAGGAAAACTGGCAATACTCTCCTGTTCTCACTCAGCAACCACGTAGTTATGATGGGTTAATGGGGGCACGTGACTCCTTGTACGTAGAACTGTCAGCTACAGACTTCTATTTCCTCACAGAAACTTGTCATCATCATTGACAGCTTAGTTCCTCGAAAGCCTAGAAAACTCACAACTCAGTCAAAATGCCACATATTTGCAAAAAGATTGCCTTCTTCGATTTTGTTTTTCAACAAAAAGGCATTTTCCAATTTTTAGCAAATTTAGAAATCCAGCTGTTTCTACAAACATATGAATAGCCACAATTTAGAACACGACCCATCCAAGTGGAAAATTGAGTATGCAAATGGAAAGGAGGCATCTGAAGCTCAAAGCCCCAACTCTAATATTAAATATATAATCTAGAGGCCACCAAGAATCTTTTAGTTCCTCTTGGGATTTTCTGTAAACCTGTCAGGCTGTGGGATATACATTAAGTCACAGACCTCAAAAACTACTTGAAAAATTCTCATAAACACCAGAAGTAATAATTTAATCTAGTATCACCTGCACCCAATTACCTTGGAACTTACCTGGAGCTCATATAATTAGAATATGAACTTTAAAACAAAATGAAAAAAGCCTCATCATGTAGTGAGTGGTAAAAACAAATGCCAGGCCCAACTATGCTTATTAAATCAGAATCTGTAAGATACAGACAGACACTAGTATTTTTTTCTCCAGGTAATTTCAAGAGGCAGTAGAGAACGTTTGCTCCAGAGATACATAACTCTGTCTAACCACTAGAACCCCTTAGGAACTCTTCTAACAAACACAGATTCCTGAGCTCTACAAAGTCATTCTTTAGGGGAACCCAGTCTGACAGCTTTGTTTAGAAATCTCTGATCTCATCACCGCGGCCCCCAAACCCTCTGCAGCTCCTACAAAGTTCATCTGACAGGGAACCATAACCTCGTAACCGCAAGCCAATAGTGATCTCCACAGTCGGAAGGTAATTCCACACAAGGATGCATATCCTTTCACCCCATTAATTATACAAATATCAATTCTCCTCCATTCTACTTTTTATAATTTTGCCACTGTTGACAAGAAACGCTACAAAACTTTGTTGCTTTCACATGCTTTGCTTTGGACTTCTTGGGGATAAGTACCACCTCACTCTGCTGGAAAATAGTTACTCAATGTGCTAGCACATGTCTGGATATCTGCACAAGTACGGGGGAAGAAAGCCACAGGCTAATAGTCTATTCATGTTTAATACAATGTCATGGATGGCCGAAGACCTAAGCCCAGTTTTATTACAGGTCCCAAGCCACAGGACAAATGTTCCAGGTTTGGACCACAGTCCTGCATGCCGCAGTCCCTCTAAAGCTGACACCAATGTCATCAGGAACACTTCCATCCCTCACATAAAAGAAACTATCCCCTCCAAAGGGCTGCTTCCGAGCAGACTGGACTCCATTTTATTCGGGCACCATACCTTTCGGCCGAGGTCTGCCTGTCTCTGGGCGGCTGCGGCGCAAGGTGGCAGGCACAATCTCAGGGGGCAAGTGGAGATAATCACGGAGATACTGGATGCCCTCGTTGGTAAGGTACCAGTAGAAATGTCTCCAGGCAAACTGTTCCTTCACGTAGCCTCGTGACTTGAGAGACTGTAAGGCAGAAAATTCATCGTAAGTAGGAGCTTGGAGCTAGAAACGACATGCAAAGCTTCCTAAACAAGTTTCCAACATATCTCACTGCCCCTGAAGCAGCAAGCAGCACCAGCCGTCCTGACCTCTCCTTGCAATTTGCCTTAAACATTAATGGAAAACCCCTCCATCTCCATTCCAACCCAACGGTCTCCCCCTTTCACCCCTCTACCTGCATGGCCTTCATGACGTGAAGGTTGGGCACATTCTTGTCTGCCAATTCTGGGTGTTTAGGCATATGGACATCCTTCTTGGCCACCATCACTCCCTCCTTAAAAAGGAGCTCATAAATAGCAATCCGGTTCTTCTTGGGCATCAACATCTGCAAGAAGGAAGCGATCGTCAAGAGCACGTAGGAGCAATGGGGCCAGGGGCCAGTAATCAAGTGCACGACTTGAA